AGGGCATGTGCATGAGACACCTGCCCTGGGGCAGGTGACGGAAGTCCCCGTCCTCCCAGAGCACCAAGCATTCACTCACCCAGGGGCCTGGACTTCTCTTCGGCAAGGGGGCCCACACACCTGCCACACAGGCCAGGGGAGGTATCAGGATGCCTGGCTTTTACTAAGTGCCAGTCCTTGTTCCCGGGGGAATGTGGCCTGTTGGCCAGAGGGAGATGGGCTAGCTGTTCTTTCTTGCACCCCGAGACCCACTTCTGTGGCCTTGATTAGAGCCCTCTGCTCTCCAGGCCTGGGCCTGAGGGCTACTTCTCAGCCCACAGTTCTTCCGCCCTGGCCCTGCTGCTGTGGTCTGGAGGCCCTTCCGATCTCCACGTTAAGCCTCCTGGAAGGCAGAACTTGCGGAAGCAGTGGGAAGACTGGCCATGTGGGCCGAGGGCCGACAGCGTGGTGCGGATCCCTGCTCCCAGGTGCAGGCCCCCCACATTGGACACCTGTTCCCAGGTGTGGGGTGGGACCAGCTGAAGGACAGCAGGTGGTTTTCTTGAGCAGCGAGTGTCCTTTTCTCCCATGCTGCTCCCTCGCTGGGACCCGGGACTGGGGATGGGGACTGGGAAGCTGTTGGGCTGTCTTCTTCTCCCTCCCCAACAGGTGACGACAAAACCACAAACACAACTTCAAATCACATATGGCTTCTTTGACCCCGTCAAATAACTTTATTCACACAAACGTCCCTTAATTTACAAAGCCTCAGTCATTCATACACATCAGGGGCTCCACAGTGCTCGAGGAACTTAAATATCACGTATCAGACCAACCAAGTAAACCAAGTACAAAAAATACTCATAAAGTTGTTCACACGTAGGTCCTAGATTACCAGCTTCTGTGCAAAAAAAGAAAATAAAGGAAGATAGAGTTATTGACTAGTATCTGAAACAGTGTTGAGCCGGGGTTAAACTTCCCTCACACTGAAATGGCCCACGTGACTGTTCAACCATCGCAACACACTCCCCTGCTGATGGAAAGAGGCCCCCGGGGCGCAAAAGATGCCTTAAATGTCCCTTCCTCCTGTGGCTTCCGTCACCCCCTGCAATCTGGGGGCTCTGGGCAGCCAATGACAGTGGATTATCGCTTGATCATGGCTGCGGGTGCTTAGTCAGCCCGCGTGGCACCACTCCCCACACTCGGGGGCAGATCAGAGATGGCCCGTGTGTCCTGAGGGCTGTGCCTCAGCCACAAGCCCCGACCCTGAAAAACCGAATGGCTCGAGCTTGGCTGTTGTCAGGTCACCAGTTCCTAGGAGACTCCAGCAGCTGTCTGTCCGGGGCCACCAGGCAGACCTAGGAAGGGGTTAGGAGTCATGGGGGCAATAACCGAAGAGCCCCACTTAGAGTCAGAGCCGCCAGCGCCCCCGGGTGTGTGCGGGGCACCGGCAGGATCAGGATGGGAGGAGCGTCTGGAGGGTGGGGCTGGGAGCCCAAGGGGCATGGAGCATGGTGGGGGCAGTCAGGGTCCCCTTCTCAGGGGCGTGAGAGCCTGACTCTTGCTTCTCCAAGCTTCCAAAAGATCCCCCCAAGCTGAAACTCAGACGTCCGTCCGTCTGTCTTCTACGAAGGTAAACAGCCAACAGCATAAAGAGGAGAGTCCCATGTTAGCTCTTTTCCTTTTCTTCGAAAAAGACTCAAGCAAAAAAAAAAAAAAAAAAAATCTTATTGCTCCAATCACTGGTTCTCTAGGAGGCAACTGGTATGTGAGGAGCTGAGAATCTTGGAGGAATGAGGCGGATGTCAGGGCCAGGCGGCTGTGAGGAAGGTGGTCAGTGGTCTCAGCACCGCAGGGTCAGGGAGCAGACGGCTGCAGGGAGCGCCCCGGCCCTGGCATCTCTGCCTCCTTCGCTCTGGGGCCACTGCAGCAGTGCCACAGAGGCCAGGCCCTGTCCCGAGTCACTCTCCACCTAGTGTTGGGCACGATTCTCCTCTGGCTGTAAACAGGGTTTTCTCAAGTAAACATATACACTCCCTCCGAAAGGCAGCCACGCGGGGCAAACCACACGCGGGCAGGAGGAAAGGGTTCCCTCCTGTCCCAGAGCCTCAGGGGTGAGCCGAGGCGGAGGCCCGCAACCTTCGCCCCAGTGCCCAGAAGGGGTCAGATGGCGCAGGCTCCAATGAGCAGACTGAGCATCCTCCCGGCTAGAGGTAAGCGGCAGGGATGTGCTGGGTAGAAGAGCAGAGTGCACCTGTCTATGACGGTTCGCCCGTCCTCGGCTAATGCTGCTGGACGGCGCCTGGCCGGGTGGGCGGATGTGTGCCTGGCTGCGGCCCTCAGGGAGGGGAGGGGAGGGAGTTCCCACCGGGCTGTCTGTGAATGGGAGTGTAAGACAGATGGACACAATGAGGGAGGAGCACACGCTCCTGAGGGCGGGGTCTGGTCAGGGGAAGGCAATGGAATAAGGCACTATGATCTGTCCTGCTGACTCCTCACACTGAGGGAACCATGCTCCTGCCCTCAGGGCTATGGCCCAGACCCTCCCTCCAACAGGCTCTCCTTTTCATAGATTAAAGAAGAGAATGACAGACGCTATCTTAAGGTGTGGAAACTTCTGGAACTGGGACAAGCTTAACAAACTTGGTGATGAGGCAGTGCAGAGCTGCCGCCAGGCCTGAGACCTGGGTGGAGAGGGTGAAAAGGCAGAAGAGGTGAGACAGGTGGCAAGTGGCTGCGAAAGGCGACAGGAGCCACCTGGGCCTCACCCCAGGCTAGTCCACTGACTGGGCAGGGCCAGCATGCACTGAAGATGGACCCCACCTGGCTGCCTGGTGCCTCAGGTGGACAAGGGAGAGAGCGAGGAGGGAGCAGAGGGAGAGACAGGCACTTGGGGCTCAGGAGCTGGCCCTCGGGGCTCCGGAGGAGGTCCTGCCACCAAGCCAGAGCAGGCGGGGAGTCCTACAAGGCAAGGGTGCCTGGACGCTGGCTACCCAGGCTGCCCCCTCCCCCAACAGGCATGGACACCCTGTCACTACGGGGGATAGCAGGAAAAGTCACAAAGGGAGAGCAGTGCGGCGCCAGGACCTTAGACAGAGCTGCGCTGGGAGGGCAGGAGAAAACTATAAGCAGGCTGCGGAACCTGTTAGGCTCGAGCCCCCACTAGGGGCTTCGGCGCTGCAGCCAGGGAGAGCTGGGGTGCCGCGTCTGGGGACTGCTTTCCCCATGTGCTCGCAGAGACAGCTGGCGAGGGAAGGCAGGGTTGTGGGGCAGAGGTGTGCGCACTGCAGCGAGGGACGCCGTGCCCCCAACCGCCCAGCTGCAGCTCAGAGGACACACAGGAGGTCACCAGAGGAGTCAGAAGAGACCAGAGACAGGAGAGTACAAAGGATTTCAGCCAAGGAATGGAAGGGCCTGGTTACCACCTGCAGCCCCTGGGAGCCTGCTAATCACAGCCTACTATCTGCCCTGGAGGAAGCATCGGTGGTATCTGAGGGCTTGAGAAAAGGCTGAAGGAATGTGAGTTTCGGCTGACACTGTGCTGGCCTCCCCCAGCCTCCCAGAGCCGCAGGACCAGGACTGCAGCTGTGGGGAAAGCCCTCCAGCCATCTCCCCTACTGATCCTGTGCTGGTTTAGAGAAAACAAAACCAAAAATAAATACAAAAGAACTCCTTCCCCTTTCCCAACGATCCTTTCCTGCTGCTGTCACAGGGTGAACAGCTTCTGAGACAGCAGAGGAGGGGTTCCATCCTGCGTGGCAGAGAATGCGGTTCAGAAGCCTGTGAAGAGGGAGAGTGAAGATCAGCTACACTGACAGACTCGGCTGGGGAAGCTCGGCTGCCAAACCCACAATCAGGAACCTAAAGGCTGCAGGCGTCTGCCCGGGCACCTCCCTGCTCTCGGCGGTTCCATCCTTTCCCCATCAGACACATTTACACCAAAACAGGGCACCGAACAGCACAGCCCTGGGGTGAGGGAGACGGTGCGACAGTCAGACCCAGCACGTACGGCACACCCTCCACCGCAGTGACAGCCAGGCCAGGGCACCTGTTCTTACGGCACTGTCGCCACTGGATCGCGAGGACCCAGGCAGTCTCTGTGACAGCCTGCGTGTGTGGTGGGCACGTCGGAGGAGGACGATACAGGAGCCAGTCGGTGATGGTGCTGAGCGCATAGGAGTGACGGCAGATGCCTGCTGAAGGCCCCACAGTGTCCGGGCAGAGGTTTGGCACAACAGTTTTTTCCTGGGGATCTTCAGAAAGAAAGATCACTAACAGAAAAGTAGGTCTGTAGTTGGAGTGGACTGACCGCTCACTGCCAGGAAGTGGGAGATGGTCACTTCTGTCCAGTCCCCCTCCCCCCAGGGATCCCAGTTATAAAGGGCAGCGGAGGGAATGGATTCCCACCACTGTAAGTCCTGCTGTGGCCTGGGGCTTCCGACAGCCTGAAGAGCACACACCCACAGTTGAGAGCTTCTTTCTTGAGTTCTGGCCAAACCCTGGTCTTCCTGCAGGTGGTTCTTCATCCAAGGCAAAGGGCTGGCCAGGAGCGCTCAGCAGTCTGGCAGTTCCTGCGTCTGGTGGAAAGATGGCCCAGAGGCCTCCTCCCGTCTCCACGCCCCTGTTCCCGGGGAAATGCCCACATTCTCCATGGAGAGGCGGGTCTTCTCTGGGGGAAGTGAGGGGTTATAAGCAGAACTGAGAAATGAGTAAAAGAAAGACAGGGAAAATAAAAGACAAAATCAAAATAGCTCCCTAACCCCTTGTAAAAATTAAAAATGAAATTTATACATATGCTTTGTCCGTATTAAATTTCTTTAAAGAAATTGGTGCCTGTCCACAGCAGAGCTTCTGCTCTTTTGAAGTCTTAAATTGTTTAAATTAAAAAAGAAATAAAAAGAAAAAAAGTGAAAGACAAAATAATAATAATAATAAAAAAAAATTTAAGCAAAACTAAAGAAGGGGAAAACCCAAACAAAGCTTCACATTGCTGGAGCTCCAGCTGTTGGGACCGCCAGCCGGCCGAGCCACCGCCTGGACCTCTGCTGTCCTGTGAGACTGATGAGACTGTGGGTCCCGAGGATCAACCTGGAAGACAGAAGGCAGGGCACGAGTGGACACTGGTCAGTGGGCTTGGGGTGGCTCCGGCTCCAGACCCCCCGCTAGGCGCCAGCACCCAAGCCGACGAACGCGCGAGCTGAGATGTGCTGGGGGCCGGGAGAGAAGGGTTCTGACTTCATCTGAAGCACATGTAGCTTCACCCTCACTCCCTGCCGCAAACACACATTCTTACTATTCGGGTAAGGAAACCGAGGCCCGAGGTCCCGTGGACTGAGGGGCAGACCTGGGCGGGGCACCCGGGCATACGAATCTGACTGGATCCTGTGTTCTCTCATGGACTCCTGCTGTTTAAATGCCACTGGGCCCTCGCTGTCCGTCCCCACAGGCCTTGGCAGCCTGGTCCCCTCACATTTCCTTCCCCATCCCCTCTAATCATGCTGCCCTGAAACTTCAAAGCAACTCCCTCGAGTTCACGGACCTCATTTTAAGAGACAAGAAGAGGGAGGCACTGGCCTCTGAAACTGGTACTACTAGGTCGCCCAGGCTCTTCCGTCTTAGGGGAGGCCTGGAGCCGGGGCCCTTGCTGGCGTGGTCAGGCTTAAAGTTCTGGAGCCAGAGCCGGGGCGGAGTCAAAAGGTTCTGCCGCTGGGCTGCGGACAAATTTAAGTCCTCTGTCCCCGCTCTATTATTACTAGCTACGGTTTGGGAGTCAATCACCTTGGTGCTGGGCCTCAGGAACAAGACAAGCTGCCTGCCTTCAAGGACCTGTTTTCCTAGGGGCCTGGAATACAAGCACCTACAGGTCATCCCTGGGCCAGCCCTCACCCCAGCCCAGCTCTCCAAGTCTGAGCCTGGCCCGGGCAGAGTACAGCCCCCTATCCTAGGCAGGGCGGCACCCAGCGCAGCAACACCATCTGAGCGGCAGTAAGTCTTTTAGGAGCTTCAAAGTGCGGCTCTCCCCAAACGACTGATCAGACAAGCCTTTCACTCTGTCCTTGAAACCCCGACATGGGCTTGGCTACTTGGTGAGCTCTCTGCAGTGTGAGAGGGGTGCCCTCCCAGCCCAGCGCCTTCCCCAGTACCTGCTGCCTGTGTGGTCTGACAACACTGGCCGTCGTCCTCAGGTCCTGGGGAGATGCCTGGCTAGTCCTCACGAGAGGCAGCGGGGTACAGAGATATCGAACAGTTTACTTCCTGTCAGCCCCCGTTTCCTCCTCTGAGAAATGGGGAGAGCTCTATTTTGAGGTTTGAGGGGAATAACTAAAAAGTACCTGGCCCACAGCAGGAACTGACACACTCGATGAGCCCACCCTCTCCCAGCCATTTGTCCCCCCCAAAAATGATGAACGCATGAGATTTAAACAGGCCACGGTCCTCAGCCATTTGACCGCCGACCCTGCTTGTAGCAGGTGAGGGTACCAGGAAAGGGACAGGCCCGGGAGGAGGGAAGAACCTGGCAGTGTGTTCGGAGCTGCCGACGTGTTCAGACCTGCAGACCCCAGTTCCACTGCTGGAAATGTATCTTAACTGATCGTCCCAAAATGAAAAGGGCTTCATAAATACACATGTTCACTGAAGTATATTTAAACTACCAGGCAACAATCCACAAAATAAGAGGTTTAGGCAAATGACCCGTCCACTCAGTGATACAGAGGAAATGAGAAGGTGCGTGGCCATCTGAACAGCATCATGGCAGAAGCGCTTCCCTGCGGTAAGTGGGGAAAGCAGGCTACAAGCTCTGGCCAGAGTGTGACCATAACTAGGTAAAACTCGGAGCCTCCAAGTACAGGACAATCTGGCAAAAAACACACCACAGTGATGTACTTGTCATGGGTGTGCCTTCTCCCCCCTTTCCCTCTGTATTTTTAGTGCTGAGTACACTCACGCTGCCATGCTCTGTAATGGAAAAACAGTACACTCGAATCAACAAGAAAGGCCATGGAGCAGCGAGCAGTCCAGACACCCAGACCCGGGCCTTTTCTGGACTCTCCCACAGACAGTGGACATGGAGGATTCCCCACCCCTGTCAGGCCTCTGGGAGGTGAGACCGTGATCCCGCCCTCGGCTGCACAGGTGCTGCGACAGCATCTGCGTGTGGGTGAAGCAGGGACAGATGACCAAGGCGCCGGAAAGCTATCTGATCAGGAAAGAAAATACTGGATTTCTCAGGCCCAACCTTTTCCTCTGCTGCTTCTGTTTCCCTGCCCATTGAGTCCTTTCCGCAAAACCTGGTGGTGGGCCTTGCATCTCAGTGTTTGGCTTGCAAAGATAAAACCATCATGCGCATGTCCTTCGATGACGCGGCAGGCACCTCGCATCCGCTTCACGCAGCATGCCTACTGCTTTCGGTAGACAAAGCAGAGCAACCAGGAGCTGGGGGAGGGAGAGCTTGGGGAGGACCTCACCATCCAAGACACTCCAGGTCCTCGTGAAACAGGGTAAGAAAAGCCAGGTAAATTGTGTGGTCATATGTGATCTGCTAATCTCGGGGACCAGTTATGACCCTTCAACACTGCTTTCCTCCCTCCCCTGGTAGGACCCAAGCTAAGACAACCTCCTCAAAAGGATGATCACCAGCAGGATGGTGGGCCATGGAGGCTGAAAGGCAGTGTGGTCAAGGAGGCAGAGATTCAGTAGCCAGAGTCCCTTTTTACATAATAAGACAGTGGAACAGAGTGTGACTGTGGAAGGTCAAACCGACAGCCCGGTACCCTGCAAGAGCTCCTGAGACACCAGCACGCAATGACGCTGAGATCCCCGGGTCCCTTGCCAGGAATCAAGGCTGACATTTCCCACAGGCTCCTCCACCCTCCCTCCACCTTTGGCACTGGCGCTGGCCCTCCTGGTATGGTTGGTCTGTGGGCTTTACCCCATGGGCAGGGACGGGAAAACGAGGGGTACTGTCTTCCATGGAGAGGACCTGGACTCTGAGTCTCTCTCCTGTCTCCCATTAGAGGTACAGCTTTCCAGCAAGCTAATGGCAGAAATCTCACTGCAAGACAGGAGTGGTCCTTCCTACACCAAGAACAGGACTGCCAGGGTTGAAGCCCAGGCCACACAGTCCTGGGCAGAAGCAGCAGCAGACCCTCCCAGGCACTCAGGGGACAGTAAACGACGGAGGCCCCAGCCCTTCATCCTAGAGAGGCCACGCCTCAGCTCCCCGACAGCACAGGCTGGGCTTGCTCTCAGTTACCAGCTTCAATCAGGGCTGGCCTTGTCCCTTTCAGTGGCCCTACCTCTGACCACAGTCCTCCCGAGAGAGCCAAGCCACACCCACTGAGCAAAGTGGTGGTGTGATAACCCTACAGGTGACACCTGTACACACCCCATCTCCACTTTCCCGGTCACTGCACCTTGCGGAGATGGGTCTGCCCATCTGAAGAAGGGAGTAGGCCCAGAGAGACGGAGCAAGCCGGCCCTCATCATAGACTGTGGAGTAGCAGAGCCAGCACTCAATCCAAGAGTGTGCAGCCCCTTTGCTGCCCAGCCTGTCCACGGCGATAGTCACTGGTGCTTTCAAAGCCGCTCAGCTTGTGGTTCTAACAGCCTGCATCTGAGGGGAAGGTGTCGGTGACCCGGGAGGTGTGCTGGCCCATTCTGCCCTTCCTTCTTTCAGCTCTCAGATCAGGTTCCCTCAACACATCCGACCTCCTGATTTCTCTATAATGATCACGACAGCATCACTCGCCATGCACTTCACACATGCCAGGCCTGTTCTATCCAGACAGAGCGCGTCGTGTGCGTCGACAACTCAGTCAGGCAACTGTCAACCCAACGCGCTGCCCCCCACCACTGTGTCCCAAAGTGGACCAAGTGTTTTCCATCTTCCGCCTCACGTCATTCAACGATCTGGAGGTAGGAGCTGTGGCCGCCCCAAGTTGGGACGAGGAAACAGAAGCTCGGAGAGATGTGCTCCTGCTGTTGGCATGCAACATCCCCTCTCTACAGAGATGAGAAGAGGTTAAACACGTTTCAGACTCATTTAAGCCTTTCGTTTATAAACAGATTCACTGAGTCCGGTGTCGCTCAGTGGACTGAGCACTGAGAAGTCCTGGTTCGATTCCCGGTCAGGGCACATGCCAGGGTTTGAGGCTCGATCCTCAGTAGGGAGTGTGCAGGAGGCAGCCGATCAATGTTTCTCACATTGATGTTTCTCTTTCTCCCTTCCTTTATCTCTATTAAAAATAAATAAATAAATAAGAAAAATAAATACTAAACAGATTCACTAAAAAAAAAAAAAAAAAAAAAAAAGCTCATGAAGGCTTGACTTAGGTGCCTCTGACAGGTCTGGGGTCCAGAGCACAAATGGGGATGTGGTGCCGACCAGGCAGCGAGGAGCCTCTGGCAAGTGCCTCCACCAGCCAAGCACCTGTCTGGTCTGTGCAAGGAAAGTGGGGAACAAAACTGTCCCTATAAGGCCACTATGTGGAGACCAGAAGCTGGGGAGAGCTACGGTGGGCGTAAGCAATGATGGGGCTGGGGACCAAATGAGCTCACACACCAAAAAGAAAGCCATCTGGCTGACGTGCTCGTAGACCAAAGCACAGTGTAAACTCTGATTGCGGGACCGCTGCATGGGTGGCCGAACTCACCCTGTCTTAAATTCTCCCTGCAGTTCTGTGTGGTGGTATTTCACTGTAGCTAATGATACATTGGATATGCTAGACACCATGCAAGATTAATATGCAATGCCTCCTTTGTCCAAAGAACCATGTAGCAATTCTCTCCATTTTACAGGTGAGCAAACTGAGGCTCAGGTACTGATTTTCAGCACGTCATGCTGTGCAGACACAGAGGCAAGGTAATCTCCGGGTCCCAGAGGGCAGGCCTCTATTTCTAAGTAATATTGGCTTCACTTGTTTAATACACGAAACAAAGCAGCTGGCTTTCCATACTCAGTTATCAGCATGCCTGCCCTCGGGGGCTCAGTGGCCCCAACGCTCCTGTCGATTCTAACCTGTCAGAAGGACGACCGCCAAGCTTTCTGACGCATCACTCCTCTAAGGCTCGGCTAGCAAGAGCAATGC